GAGGGCAGTGTCACTGGCCCTCATATGTGGGATCCGAACCGGGGCCCTCTGGCATCCCAAGCGAGTTCTTAACCATCGCGCCACTCGGCCGGCCCCCTTGTTTCATTCTTGATATTGGTAATATTTGTCTTCTCTCTTATTTTTGACATTCTTGCTAGAATATGATTTTTATTGATGTTTTCAAAAGAAACAACTCTTTGTTTCATTGGTTTTCTCTATTGTTTTTCTGTTTTCAATTTCACTGATTTCTGCTCTTATCTTTATTATTTCCTTCCTCCTACTTACTTGTTTTGGATTTATTTTGCTCTTCTTTTTCTAGATTCTTGGGGGGTAGGGGGAACTTAGATAATTGATGTAAGACTTTTTTTTTCTTTCGCAATGTATTGGGTTGTTGGAAAAGTCATGACGTATTTTTTCTGTTTTTCATTGCAAAAATGCATTATGACTTTTCCGACAACCCAATATGTATTTAATGCTACAAATTTCCCTCTCAGTACTGCTTTAACTGAGTCCCACAAATTTTGATATATTGTATTTTCATTTTCATTCAAGTCAATGTATTTAAATTTTCCCTTGAGACTTCCTCTTTGACTCCTGAATTAGTTTAGAAGTGTAATGTTGAGTCTCCACGTGTTTGGAGATTTTCCTATTATCTTTCTGTTACTGATTTTTAGTTTGATTCCATTGTGGTCAGAGAACACACGCAGTATGATTTTACTTATTTTACATTTATTGAGGTTTACTTTATGGCTGGGGATATGGACTATCTTGGTGTATATTCTGTGGGCACTTGAATAGAATTTGTATTCTATTGCTGTTGGGTGGAGTGTTCTATACACATCGATTAGATCGATTGGTTAATGTTGTGTTTTCTATATCCTTGCTTACTTTCTGTAGAGTTGTTCTATCAGCTGTTGATATGGTAGGACTTAAGTCTACCGTTTTATTTTTTGTTTCATGTTTGTTCTTTGTGTTCTTTCTGTTTACTTTTTCCTGCTTCTCTGTGGGTTACTTGAACACATTTTAGGATTCCATTTTGATTTATATCTAGTATTTTTGAGTGTATCTCTTTGTATAGTTTTTAAAATGGTTAGTCTAGACGTTCTATAATATATACATATCACAGTATACAGATGTTATTTTACCAGTTTCAGTGAAGTATTGAAACCTTACCTATCTTTATGTTCCTTTACCCTCCCCCATTTATAACTGTCTTAACTATTTCCTTTACATATATTTAAAACCACTTCAACATTATAATTTTTGCTTAAATCATCAAACATAATTTAGAAAACTCAAAAGGAGAAAAAATCTTATTGTATTTATCTACATATTTGTGTACTGTGTTGTTCCTTCTTTCTGGATATCACAGGTTTGCCTCTTTTATTCTTTTATTGTTTCTTTTCTGCTTAGAGAACTTCCTTTACCTATTCTTATAGGGAAAGTCTGCTGCCATCAAATCCATTATTTTTCTTTTGTCTGAGAATGTCTTGATATTCTCTTCATTCCTGAAAGATATATTCACTGTGTATAGAATTTTGGGTTGCCAGTTCTCTTCTTTCAGCATTTGAAAGATATGGTGTCACTTCCCTCTGTCCTCCATTGTTTCTGATGATAAATCCACTGTTATTCTAATTGTTTTTTTTTCTCCATGGGTAAGTGCCATTTTTTTCTCTCACTGCTTTCAAGATTTTCTTTTCTTTGTCTTTAGTTTTCAGAAGTTATGATGTGTCTTGGCATTGATTGTCTTGGGTTTATCCTATTTGGGATTGCTCAGCTTTTTGAATCTGTAGGTTTGTTTCTCTTGACAAATTGGGAAGCTTCCAGCCTTTATTTTTTCTAGTACTTTTTCAGCCCTGCCCTCTTTCTCTTATCTTTCTAAAACTCCAGTGACACAAATGTCACATCCTTTATTATAGTCCTACGGGTCTTTGAGCCTCTGTTCATTTTTTTTAGCCCATTTTGTCTCTGTTGTTTAAACGTAGTAATTTCTAGTCTGTCAGTTCACTGATTCTTTGCTCTGCCCCCTCTATTCTGTTG